TCCGCTGCCTTCGGCTCGGGTCATGATCTCAGGGTCCTGGGATCGAGTCCCGCATCGGGCTCTCTGCTCGGCAGGGAGCCTGCTTCCCTCTCTCTCTCTCTCTCTGCCTGCCTCTCCGTCTGCTTGTGATCTCTCTCTCTGTAAAATAAATAAATAAAATCTTTAAAAAAAAAATTTAAAAAAAAATAAAAATTCAGTTAAATCTAGAAACAAAGCTCTCTATTCTAGAGAGACCAGATAGAAGAGGCATCTAATTTCCCCCATGCTACCCCTGCACAATTCATTGGTGCTGGAAAATGGCCCTTCCTTCTTTGCATGCCAGATACTGAAGGGGTTCAGGCTCCAAAGTCTTCCCTGGGAGCAAATAGATTGCTTGATACAGAATTTACTCTATGTAATTTCTATATTAAGTATTATAATGATTTCTATAGAGTCAATTCTGTAGAACTTGAAACCAAAAATTGCCTAGACTTGCCAGGTGCTGTATTTGTAAGAGAAAATAGAAGCATTCCCTGCATCTATATATTATACATAGCAGAATTCTCAAAAATTCAACTTACACGTGTCTGGTAGTTACCAGAAATGTACTTCCCAAAGCAATTTATACTTCAATAATATTACTTAAACATGCTGTGCCTGTCAATCATCCATGAGGATCTTAACATTTTAATTATGTAAATGATAGGTCAGCGAACTTCTATAAAAATCCAGCTGGTAAATATTTTAGACTTTGCAGGCCACACAGTGTCTGTGGCTGCTATTCCATTTTGTAGTAGCACAAAAGCATTCATAGGCCGTAAGTAAATGAATGGCTGTGGTTGTGTTCTAATAAAACTTTATTTATAGAAACACACTAGATTTGGTTCAGGGGTCTTAGTTTGCTGAATTCTGGTATAAAGGAAATGTCCATATGTATAATGTTTGTATTAGGAGAAGGTACCAGGGCATTTAATATCTTGATAATATTTTCCCTATAAGACCCTTCTCCAAAGCAGGCTTGCTTTCCCCCCACCCCCATCTCTATAAGATTCCTTTACATGGTATGACCTTTAATCTTCATTTTGCTCGAGATCCACTTCAAAGTTTTTCTGTGTTTGTTATTGGTTTACTATATAGTTTCTGATCTAGGCTCCGTCTGTTTTCTTTCTCCAGCAAAGCTCTCCCACATTGGGCATCTCTCACCTTCTGTGGCAGTAACAAGTTAATCTCCTGTCAGGAACCTACCTCCCTTTGCACAGGTGGTAGCTTTTTGAGTCCTAAGATCACTGGAAAGAAGGCAGAGGAATTTGGCTCAGCAAAACCCTGGGGATTCTAACTGAAGCTAAAGTCCAGTTATCTCCAGACTCCTCTCCGTTCTGCATCTCTTCCATTAGCTACAATTTGGGAAAAGGACAGGGGAGGATGGGCAAGGGTCTTCTGGGTGTCTGGGACTTGGCTTGCAGCACTTTGAGAGACATACACCACCACTAAGAATTTCAGAATTATACTTTGAAGGTTCAGCTCACAAAATTTGGCTCCTGGTTTTCCTTTAGGAGACAAGGAAATGGCAGAAACATTCTAAAGCAATGGTTAGGATAGAAAGGAACCCTAGAAAAGCTGCGAGACAAATGTCTGGCCCCAGCAGAAAACAGGTGGTATTTTCAAATTATTTTGCCCAATCAAGTTCACTTCAATTCCATGTTAGCCTAATTTATTATTAACTTTGGGCCTTTGGAAAACCAAGACTTAAGCTCCTCAATGGAAGGAATCAAACTTCCTTCCACAGTAAGCTTTTTATTCCCACAGCCTTGATTTTTCAATCTGACTCTATTTCATTTTATTCTGTTTGTCTAATTTGCAATGCCATAGCATCAAAGACAGACACACAGACAATGCGCGCCTGCATCTAAACCGCTGGCTGGCTGATCCATTTCAGACTGATGGTGAAAGAATTACACTATCGTGATCGGCAGTCGTCACAGAATTATAGTCTATAATCCACTGTCATTTGAAAATTTCCTGAACTAGAACTCTTTGTTCTTGATTGTGTCTATTTGGAAAAGCTCATCTGCCTTATTCACAGCCTTCTTTTCTCTAATACTTTCGATAAATGAGGAAGGAGTTTTCCCAGTCCTCTCAGGCTGACTCCCACATGCCCAACTGCTGGCAGCCAGAGCAAACCTCTGCTGTTCTCAGAGTCCTGATTCCCCCGGCGCGGGCTCTGCACACCCTACCTCCTCTGTTTCACATCTCTCCTCCATCCCAAAAGAGGCTGTCACGGGTAAAGGTTCCAATCCCTCTCTCCAGTTTTGGAAAAAAAGGCCGTGGGCCTGTCTGAGGCCATTCCTCTTCCTATCCCTACTCACTAGGATTTTTCTCCATTTCTAGCACCTTCATTTCCTCCTGCCTTCAAACATGCCCAAATGCCCCCCGTCCTGGGGAGTGAAAAACCAAAAAGTAAAAAACGCACAACCTTTGCCTTCCCCTGCTGTTTCTCTCCTTCCACAACTTCTCCTGCCTCCATGAAGTCTGCACTCTGTCCTCTCTGCCCTCCAAATCAGTGATCCAGTCATTGTCAAATCCATTGGTCTTGCCCTTGCTTTTATTGTGACCTTTGGGTGTAGGTTTAATGAAACAGTGTAGTGTGTTCTCAAGGTTTCTGAGACCTCGCAGCCCTACGTGAATTATAGCAACACCTCACCAATGCCTTCCTGGAGGGCTCTGCCAGGCTCTAACGTTACACTTTCACTACTGTTTTCGTGACCAATATTCTTTTTCTTCCTTCAGTCTACTAATTACTGACATTTCTGGAATTTGGTCTTTGGACTCCCCTATGTATGTCATTCCTGATTGTTTCATCTGTCCTCCCGGCCTCATTTCTTGCCTGCGATGGCCCCCAATTACCTCTAGCCCCAAGCTTCAGCCTTTGAACTCTGCCAGATCCACATTTCCTGTTTCCACATAGTCAAACATCTAAACTTTTTCTCACATCACAACTCCCCAAGCCATTTCCCTCTTTCTTAAGATGGCTTTATTTTAGTAAATGACAATTACCCACAGTAATTGGGTAATAGGGACTGCCCTATTTCTCCCCTGCCCTGAAGAGTTATCCAATCAGACATCAACTTCCAACAGCCTTTTTTTGTCCATTATCACAATCACATATGATTGTCTCATTCTACCCCATTTATCATCCTAGGTCTGTCCTTTAGTGCCTTCAGTGTATGCCACTGCATTAGCTCTGATACAGACTTCCTCTCTAACCCTTCCTTCTCTGCCGTAACCCACCACAATGACCAGACATTCTCCTATAGCAGTGCCTTCACCATGATACTGCAATCAAAATCTTAGGCCTACAAGATAAAGGTCCGAAATCCCGAGTCTAAAAGTTGAGGTCCTCCCTCATCTGATATAACATAAATCTCTCCTCTCGGGCTCCCTCCCTGAACCACCTGAAGCACACCAGGGGTGGGCCTGCTCCCTGCCTTTGTTCATCCTGCAGGCGTGACTTTCTGCTGGGGTAAGCACCAGAGACTGGCTCGACCGACACCTGGATTACAAACGGGTGAAGCAAGGATGTAGCCAAATTTCCTCTGGATGGATTTGAAAGTGTGAACTTTTGTATCCTGGTGAAAATTTTCTCATCAAGCATCTCACACCAACAAGGTGTGAGACTCCAGGAGGGATATAAAGATCTGTCTAATCTATGACCTTCAGGAGCATAATCAAACCAGTTATATAAGGTATGTATAAATAAGTCATGGAAAATATTAAGACTTCTTGTTGATCAATGGGTATGGAATTTTAGTTTTGCAAGATGAAAACATTTTGGAAATTGGTTGTACAATATTGTGAAAGTACTTAACACTACTGAGCTGTACACTTAAAAGTAGTTAAGATGGTAAATTTTATGTGTATTTTGTCACAATTAAAATAATTTTCTTAGTAGTTCCAGACAATCAGGAGAGGTGGTTGCTGAGATAAGCCCACAAATAGAGATGGGACAGGGACAATTAACTGTTAATTCTCTCCAACCCCTACTACGTCGCTGCTATTATTCTCTCCAGTCTGACCCCGGGACTTAGGGAAAAGGTAGAACTCTTTAGTTTATCTTACTCTTAAAAAAAAAGTCATATGCCATAATATTCAAGAATGTCCACAGAATGTCCAAGAAAAGAGAATGGGTAAATACATATTTCTGTAATCAAATTTATTCATGTTCGGAGATGTCATTTACAGCTTTAAAGACTGCCTGGTAAACTTCAACAATGTTATGGACATCTTACAAATGTTTGTTAGTATGTAATTATGATACTCATCTCTTGAATTTATAAAAATCAGAAGTGTTCCCCAGAAAGTTTTGCATTGTGCCAATGGAACTAAAAATGTCATAGCTACAGCTACCATCTACTGAATGCTTGGTTTCATTTGACAAAAAAAAAAAATTTTAAAAATTTTTTTAAATAAAAGTTTTATAAAGTGGTAACCTCCACATGTCTCTGCCTGGCAACATGTCACAGGCATCCCTCCTTCCCTCTTTTTAGCATGAACTAGTCTTGGCCATATGACTACCGTCCCAGTCCAATCAGTTGCAAAATAAAAATGAAAAGGTTGATGATGTCCAAGTAGATGTTCAGGGCAGCAAAAACATACTCTTCAGGGTCCAGGTCAGAGTGATGGTGGCGCCCTCCCACCATGAGCTGTACATCCATCACCAAGTACTTAAAGAGAAGAAAGAAGGATTAGCTACCCAAATTGTACCTTTCTATCACATAGGAATCCTAAATTACCTGGAAAAAATATTTTAGCATCACTAAATATAGTTCAGAAAGTCAATTTGTGACTATATATGTTCTTTTTACAGCCTCGACCATTCACTTTGTCCCCAAGTGTGTCTTCAACCTACTACAGCAAGTGTGCCGTCCTCCTGATGCCAGTGGCACCAAATCTGTAAGCCTTCTTTTGCTTTCCAAATGCAGAAAACTTTGGGCCTTTAGCCAATGAGGTGGAGCAGGTGGAACGATTGGACACAGAGATAAACTACAAAATTCCTTGTATTTGTGATTTCCCCACATGTTCTTGCTGAACAAAGAACAAAAATAAAGATGGTCCCTGATATTTAGATTCACACCCAGCAATAATTCTGAATTCTTGAAGCTTTGGATGATACCATTTTTCAAACCCTGACTTTGGGATGGTTTTATGATGATGTTGGAATTTCCAAAACAGAAGTAAGGGAAGATGGAATTTGTAGATGGTTAAATATTTCCCAAAATAAATGTTTAGCTCAGCTACAATAGGTAAAATTAGGAGCTCCTAAAACATCGATAGAAAAGTCAGGCAGACCTCTTGCCTTTATGCTTGCTGCCAGGTGAGCAGCCCCGGGCAGCAGGAATACATTAGAGGAGGAAAAGGGAACAAGTGGGCCCTTACTTCTTTGTATCCAGATTTTAGACTGAGTCTAGTGTGGTGGGGCAGAGCCACAGAGCCCCACCAGACAGATCAATGCTGGCACTATAGAGAATACTTGGGGTTTTAAGGATGCTTTAAAATAATTCATTTACAACAATATCCACATCAGTAAGACCCATCCCAAGAGATTGTGGTATCAGCTCTCTGTGGGCCCCAGTTGCCACTTAGACTGGGAAGGATAAGGAGGAAGGGAAAAAGAGGAGGAGGAAAGGGCACCTCCTGATACGAGCTTTATGCCAGTTCATTACAGACCTCATCCCATGTAAAGTGTGACCAACCCAGTGAAGGCAGGAGAGATTAACTGAGCCTCCAAGAAGGGAAGATCACACTGTGGCAAACGGCAGAGAAGGAAGTCCAACCCAAGGCTGGATGCCAAAGCAGGTGCCGCACCTGGACACTGAATCCCTTCTCCTCACTGCTCCCCTCACCCCATGACTGATGTCAGCAACTTTGGGGGGTGGGAAATAAGCTAGGTGACCAGTCATTCCAGTTTGTCCAGGACTTTAGTGTGTCCTTAGAAACCCTCAGCGCTAGGCGAATCAGGGCAGTTGGTCACCCTAGAAAACCGGCTGCCCAGGAGCTGAGCTTCCAGCCTTCATTTATCACCCTGGCATCCTGACTTCTGTGGAGAAGCACTTTTCTCTCTTCCTCTCCTCTGAACTCCTGACTTTGTCTTATTTCCTCTTATTAGAGGGTAAACAACTTCTAATCGTTTCACAGACACGTCTTGGTGGTTAGGAGTACACCTCCCAGGTGAACTGTTTTTGAAGGCAGACAGAAAAAGTGAGAGAGTAAGATGAGTTGGGATTCAGACCTCCAGGAACATTTGGGGGTAACACCCTGCCTCACCCCTACAGCTCTTGTGGTTAACCATTCCGTCCTTACCCCCCTGAAAAAATTTCAGTTTCCCTCTCCCCTTATTTGTTTAGTGTTGGGTAGGCCTGAGCCTACAAGACTATTTGTTCTGTCTCCAAACTGGGAAGAGAAACACCAATGTACTTTTGCCTGGAAACAAACAATGCCTGAAACAGGACACAAGACATGTAATAGCAGGCATCTCTATGCAAAGGATGAGAGCATATGAGTGAAGGTAAACAAGCACAAGTCAGTTCCCTTCATATCAGCAGAGGGAATAAGAAAACTGAAATGTGCTTACGTAACCTTAGCCTCCTGGTCTAAATTGTTCTGACATTTGAAAATAGATAGGACATAATTCTAACAAAAAAGAACATAACGTAGCAAAATGTGAATATTTTTAAGCTGGGTGATAATGTGCGGAGTTCATTACTCCATTCTCTCTACTTCTGGGTATGTTTGGAAATGCCAAAAATAAAAAATTAAAGAGAAAACCTAAAATACGTGACATGATAAAAGCATAAAATGGAATACCATGCAGCCTTTTAAAGAGAATGAACTCAATCCATGTCTGCCAAGATATGGAGACCATTATTTTTAAGTGAAAAAGCAAAGACAGAACATTCTGGTTTTTTAGGGCCAGTCAAATTTAGCAGTAGGGAGGTTGTATACCAACTTTAGTGACACTAATGTTAATAAGTTTTAAGAACCCACTACCATCCGATCAATCAAGACAGAACATTCTATAAAGTATGACCATTAAAAAAAAAAGATAAGTGTGTGTGAATGGCCAACACAATACTAAAGGAGAAGAACAGAGTTGGAGGACTGATGCTACCTGACTTCTACCTGAAGCTACCTGTAGCTTAAGACTTACTATGAAGCTACAGTAAGCTAGACAGTGTGGTACTGGTGAAAGAAGAGACAAATAGATCAATGGAAAAACTAGAGAGCTCAGAAATAGATCCACATGAATATAATCAACTGACCTTTGACAAAGGAGCAAAGGCAAGACAATGGAGCAGATAGTCTCTTCAACCAGTGGTGTTAGAACAAGTGGACATCCAGATGCAAAAACACAAATCTAGACGAAGACTTTATACCTTTCACAAAAATCAACTCAAAATGGATCTCTGACCTAAATGTAGAACACAAAACTCTAAAAGTCCTAAGAAGATGACATAGGAGAAAACCTAGATGACTTGAGTGTGGTAATGGCTTTTTAGATATGACCCCAAAGGTACAATCCATGGAAGAAATAATGCATAAGCTGGAGTTCATTAAAATTCAAAACTCCTATTCTGTGAAAGTCAATGTCCTGAGAATGAGAGAATGAGACATCGAGGGGAGAAAATATTTGTAAAAGACACATCTGATAAAAGACTGTTATCTGAAATATTTAAAAAAAAAAAAACTCTTAAAACTCAACAATAAGAAAACAATCTGATTTTTAAATGGACCAAAAATCCTAAGAGACACCTCACCTAAGAAGATATACCGGTGGAAAATAAACACACTAGTAGATAATCTGCCTCATATGTCATAAGGGAAATGCAAATTAAGACAACAGTAAGATACCGCTCTTAAAATGGCCAAATTCTGGAACACTTATGACATCAAATGCTGCTGAGGATATAGAACAACAAATTCTCAGTCATTGCAGTGGGAATGCAAAATGGCGCAACCACTGTAGAAGACAGTTTGGCAGTTTCTTATAAAACTAAACATACTCGGGGGTGCCTGGGTGGTTCAGTGGGTTAAAGCCTCTGCCTTTGGCTCAGGTCATGATCTTAGGGTCCTGGGATCGAGCCCTGCATCGGGCTCTCTGCTCAGCAGGGAGCCTGCTTTCTCCCTCTCTCTCTCTACCTGCCTCTCTGCCTACTTGAGATCTGTCTGTCAAATAAATAAAATCTTTAAAAAACAAAACAAAACATACTTTTACTCTCCAATCCAGGAATCATGTTCCTTGGTATGACTCAACTACCCAAAGGAGTTGAAAACTTACAAAAACCTGCACACAGGTGTTTATAGCAGCTTTATTCAAAATTGCCAAAACACGGGAGCAAACAGGATGCCCTTCAGTAGGTGGATGGAACCATAAACCGCAGCACCATAGACAACAGAATGTTACTCGGCACTAAGAAGATATGAACTGTCAGGCCATAAAGGGACGTGGGAAACTTAAGGGCACATCACTAAGCGAAAGAAGCTGTTCTGAAAAGGCTGCAGACTGAATGACTTCCACTATATGACATTATGGAAAAGGCAAAATTTAGAAACAGGAAAAAAATCAGTGGTTACCAGGGGTTAGAGGCAGGGAAGGGATCAAAAGGTGGAACACAAGGGATTTTGAGAGCAGTAAAAAATACTCTGTATGAGGTGGCAATGACAGAATGTGTCAGTATATATTTATCTAATCCCACGGAGTGTACCACACCAGGAGTGAAATCTGATGTAAACTCTAGGTAATTGTGATGTGCCCAGGTCGTTTCGTCAGTGTAACAGATGTACCAGTCTGGTGGGGGATGTGGATCATGAGGGAGGCCATGCATGTGTGGGGGTAGGGGGGATACAGGAAACATCTGTACCTTCCTTTCTGTCGTGCTGTGAATTTAAAAGTGCTCTAAAAATTGTCTTTATAAAGAAAAAGAAGAAGGAAAAGGAGGGAAAGGAGGAGGGGGAGGGTGAAGTCTCCCAGAGGGCTTTCCGGTCAACTCCTGACTCTACTAGACTCTGGGGCTAGCACAGGCTTAGGGACACTGTCAGTGCAGAAACCACATGCTTTGTCAAAGTGAGGGAGAAATGGACTTACAAGTGAGAAGATTATAGTTCCAAGGCCAGCATACAACAGATGCAGCCACTGCAAAGAGAAGAAACAATCGTACATTAAGAACAAGATTCAGAATAATGAAAGGACTTACCTGGGCCATTGCTGTTAGATAAGGATTCAATATTAAGGAAAGTCAAATCCGTGGAGAAATTCATTTTTTTTTTAACATCATGGTCCACAGCATCCACTCCATTCCTTGCAGCAAACAAATGAAAAGCACCCTTGCCAAATCAGTTTTATCAAGTGTTAAACGTCTCAGGCGTGGTAGGGCAAATTGAACATTCTGGATATGTTTTACTTTTTGTGCCATCTCATAACCCTTCTATAGCATCTGCGCCTATACTCAGTTCTTGGAACAAGGTCACTCTGAAAATAGTGCCCCTCAGGTACCCTCGCTAGAGCTGAGTGACAAGAGGTGGAAGACATTGGCTCCAAAAGCAGTGACTCTGTAGACTGACCAGAAACCTTATATGTGACTGGGATCAAACAGATGCACTAGGCCAGTCAGAAATTCTCAGAGTCTATTTTATCATCAGCTGTGCTGGAACTGTTACTCTACAGAGTTGGACAGTCAACTCAGACCAAGAGAGAGAAAGGGGGGAGGATTTCCATTTCTATGAATCCTGTCACTGCTTCCTACATAGAAGTTCCATGAATATCCCCTGTATCTTTGCTTCAAGCTAGTCTGTTCCGTGGAACCCAAATAGCCCTGATCAGAATAGAATGATCTGAATGCCAAAGAGGTTGGCTCTCTATGGGGAGAGGATAAGGAGGTGGTGCATAACATGTAAGAAAAATAATGTCATTCACTCTTCAGGACAAGAAAGCTCATCCTAGGTAAATAGAGCATTCTGCAAACCAGGGAAGATTCTTGGTGAAGGGCATAAATCAGGAGTCAGTGACATAGTGTGGGAGGGGCAGTGTTTCTGGACTGAGCTAATAGTAAGAAAATGCCTGATTACTAGAGTCTGAAGAATTCAAAATTGCCCAAGTCAAACAAGCATGTATACTTACAACAAGGTTGGACAACAAGTGTCCATCAAAGTCTTTCATTTAAATGTAAGATTATATATTGTAGATATTTGTGAAAAGAAGTTTACAGTAGGAACTGGGATTCATCTATCTAGTAGAAAACAGAGTTCCTTAACTGCACCCAGATGGTATTGTAAAGAGTTATGGAACCAACCTAATAAATATTTGGATTATTACTACCACCAATATCTGGGCTACCCACCACCCACCTTCCCTCTCCTTCAGTTGGCACCTGATATGCTACTGGGGTCGACCAGGTCTTCCAGCCCCCAGCAGCAACCCAGCCCCTTTCCTCCCAGAGACATTTCTCCCAGTACAGTCTTCATCTGCTTCACCCCGCTGGGCATCTGCTTCTCAGAGGATCTAGGCCAACACAACCAGCATGTCACCCTACATTTCTAACAGTTCTCTGAAGTTCCCAAATGAGATCCCACTTACATATGATCGTATGAAGAGTAAGAGAATTCCATAGATAAGAAGTACGAAGAGTGAAACAAATAGGATTCCGTTCAACATCGTGAAATCCCACTGAGGAAACATAGCACAAAAAACAACTCAGTTATCATCTATAAGGAACTTCAGGATGTTTAGAGATGCATTTTATACCCATAGACAGACACTGACCCGTTTGCTAATAATTTACCCAGAACATTTCTAATAACCATGGAAATCCATTCGCCCCTACCACGGGAAAATGCTACATTAAAAAGTGTGTTGTTGACTGGAACATGCTTCAGGAGCGAATATGGAGGAAATCACAGGAGCCAAGGATATAAGAGGGTTCATCATACTATCCTATTTTTGTATTTGTATGAAATTTCCCCTACTAAAAAAGCTTCATTGAATAAATATGATGTAAATTTGTATGTCTAGTATGATCATAATTATTCATATTTTCATAAAAGTGTTGTGCACAGAATACAGTAATGGAATGAAATAGACCAATGTTAACTGGGTACCTTTTTCATGTTTCTATGCATACATTTAATAAAAATACACTATACTTTCAAAAATTATTACTAATGATTCTTTTGTTATTTTGAAATTCATTAATATGTTTTTTGGTTTCACCTTTTTAATAAATCAGGGACCAAATCAGCCTGGGGAAGATGAGGATTCCTTTTTTTTTTAAGATTTTATTTATTTATTTGACAGAGAGATCCCAAGTAGACAGAGAGGCAGACAGAGAGAGGGGGGGAAGCAGGCTCCCTGCTGAACAGAGAGCCCGATGTGGGGCTCGATCCCAGGACCCCAAGATCATGACCTGAGCTGAAGGCAGAGGCCCAACCCACTGAGCCACCCAGGCAACCCCTAGATGAGGATTCTTTTAAAGGAAGGGGAATATCATCTTCTGACCTGAATAAAATTATGCAGCAAAAGAAGACCCTCGAATCTACGATTTTTTTTTGTCAGAGTATTTTCCCACTTCCTCTGTTTCCCCTTCACTCCCTAGCCTTTGCACACCAAGAGAGTCATCGGAAGTATTAACTCTCCAAGCGAGGTTCCGAACCATCAGCACCACCTGTGCAATGTGAATTATCTGGCCCACGCCCCGGAATTTCTGAAGCAGCCACTCAGGGTGGAGCCAGAGGAACCTGTTTTAACAAGCCCTCCAGGTGATTCTGATGGCCATTAAAAAAATGTTTGTCTACAGCTGTGCATTCAGTACTTGTGGCTCGTGGGCGTTTGAAGTATGGCTGAAGTGACGTGGATTTGAAATTTAGTTCAAAAAAAGGATGTAAAGCAGCTCAATATTTTCTAGCGATTCCTGAAATGTTAATATCTTGCATATATTCGGTTAAATAAAATATAGGATTAAGATTAATTTCACCTGTTTTTGTTTTCTTTTTTAACATGGTTACTAGGAAAGTCAGACGCCAGAAGGCAGGGAGGCTGCGGAGGTGAGGCCCGCAGGATAGCAGTGAGCAGGAGGGAGGAGGGTAAAAGAGTGGGTCAGGCAGAGGAGCTCACACCCACACACTCCCTTAGGAGAGGAACCGGTCCCGGTGATACATACTTTTGTCTGAAGAGCAAACAAAGTGAGCGATAACGTCACCAGAGCGGTTGCTGCTGTTGCCCATAAGATTTCCTCGGCATTGTAGAAACTGAAACCAGAGACTGTGATTACTGTCCACACGCACGCAAGGAAAAGCACGCACGGAAAAGGAAACGTGTATCCAGGACTTACACTGATATGGCTCCGAGCAGCAGACCTTGAAGAACTGTCTGAAAACAAAACGCATAGCAAATCAGAACCCCAATTCCTGAGGGCCCAGAAGCCAGAGGAGAGGGTTGAAGGTGCGGATGTTTCGGGCAGGGTCGAGGGAGCGTGTGGAAGCATGGTAACCCTAGTGTGCAACGCTACAGGGAAAATGAATTGTTGGAAACAAACCGTGGAGCTAAGCATTTTCCTAACATTCCCCCAAGGCTGACAAGATTCTTTTATTAGCAAAAATTCTTAGAACACAGGAGTATCTTTCAACGTATCTAGTGAATAAAAGATATATTCAGTAGGAATATCGAAACCATAATAATGACAGGGTTTTTTTGTAGACCATATTCTCATTAATCCAATGGGGCCAACTGCACAGCATCTTAATTTATCAAAGCAGGATATGCTATTTCTACTGATGCTTCACCAACAGCCTTGGCACCGACATTTCCTCCAGTGCTTGGGTGAGAATTAAAAACTCCAGACCTCAGGTGAGGGACGAGGATGGAGGCCTTTCCGGCCCTGGAGATGGGGCTCGAGGGCAGTTCTCCGCAGAGCGTGGAGCTGCCAATCCTGGGCTCAGAAGCCAGCTGCACCCGGGCTGAATGAGGCGGGAGCTTGCCCAGGGTCTGACTGCAGCCCAGGCCGGGGCCGTGTGCAAGAGAGGAGAGAGGCCGTCAAGCCAGAGGATGAGACCAACCAAGGCAACAAGGATGCACCCAGGTGCACAGCCAGGCTCCAGCATGGCAGACAGGTGGAGGGGACAACAGTGAACAATGGCTGAAGGATGACATTCCCCAGATGGTAGGGCGGCTCCACCAGAGACAAGTCCAGAGCCTTGGCTGACCCTCTGGTCCATGGCAGGAGCCAAGAAGGTAATCCTTTTGTCGCCGGGAGTGAAAATGAAGATGCATCCTAACTGTGGTGCGGGGACTGCTAGAACAGCTTTGAACTTCTCCAGCTGGCCCACGTCATCCAGCAGAGGAGACGAGAACTATGGCCATCCCCAGAGTCCTGGATGTATCTCTGCTTTTTCCAAACCCAGTGAGTAGCTGCCTGATTCTCTACTTTGTTCAATTTACCAGAGCCGTCTTTCTTTCCAGTATAGGTTTAAAAAGCTGTGTCTGTTCCATGTACGCATGATATTTTAATAATGTGCTTGCTTCCAACCTTCCTCTTGAGATTTTCTTCTTCTACTTGCTCTGTTGCTGCATGTTTCTCCATCTTTTGCAGCACATAAGTGTGTGTGAGAGACAGCGACAGAGGAGAGGATGGTGGGAGGAAGATGGGGGTTAGAGACGGAGATGGAGCGGGAATGGTTTAAAGTGGAAAATCCCCCTTCAGTTTTCCCAAGAGGAGAATGAGAAGTCAAACCCGCCTAATGACTTCAAGAGTGCAGAACATGGGCTCGAGGGGTGTAAATGCTACGGGACAAAAGCTGTCTTCAGTGTTTGTGTTTTCATTTTCCCCTCAACCCCTTTCCTGAAATGGTTTTCTCCATATATTTCCTAATACTTAGTCAAAACAAAAAGTTGAGAAGATATAACTAATTCTTCGCCCCTCTACAATATTCTCTTAAGCTGTTACTGCTTTGAGATACACAACAAAACCTCAGAGATGAGAGCTTCCTTTGAGACCAATACCTTGGATCTCTTCTTATAATAATTTAAATTTTTTTTCTTGGAAAATTTTAAAAAATCGAAAGTTTTTGGAAAAGTACCTCCCTTCCCCATCCTATTGCCTCTGCTCCAGGATTCCCAATATCTTTCTATGTCTGGCTTTTAGCCCCCACTCCTTCCTGAGTGTGATCTGGGCAGGAACTGGGAGACCTCACCTGCTCCCCTGAGCAACGAGCAGAGTATCTACGCCAGGTAAAGGCCTGTCAGTGCTCTGGCAGCCAAGGAAATGCCCACATGTAGGCACCAGAGAGCTCGTCTTCTCCAGCCTCGGGTGGAGGCTAGTCTTCCCAATATATAAATCACGCTGGACACTGCACTATATGGATGCTGAACATTGGCATGTGTCCTTCCTTTCTTTGACCACCAGGCACAGACCCAAATCTAGGCTCATCACACTCAAGTGCAATAGGACAATGAATTTTTTTAAATTTTTAATTGAAGTATTATTGACATAAAATATTGTATTCACTTCAGATATACAACATAGTGATTTGACAATTATATGCCCCACAAAATGCTCACCACAATTAGTATCATCTGTCATCGTACAAAGTTATTGCAACATGATAGACTACGTTCCCTGTGTCGTACTTTTCATCCCTGTGACTTATTTATAACTGGAAGTTGGTACCTACTAAACTCCATCACCTGTGTTTCCTAGCCCCCATCCCTCTCCTACAACCACCAGTTTGTTCTCTGTTTTTATGAGTCTGTTTTTGTTTTGTTTCTTTGTTTTGGTTTGTTTTCTGGATTCCACATATAAGTGAGATCATACAGTATTTGTCTTTCTCTGTCTGACTTATTTCACTTTGCACTTAACCTCTAGGTCCATCCATGTTGTCACAAATGGCAAGATTTCATTCTTTTTATGGCTGAATAATACTCCATCGTGTATAAGTACCATCTCTTCTTTATTGATTCATCTGTCAGTGGATGGTTAGGTTGCTTCTATATCGTGGCTGTTGTAAATAATGCTGCAATAAACATAGGGGTGCACATACCTTTTTCAATTTGTGTTTTCATTATTTGGGTAAATACTCAGAAGTGGAATTACTGGATTGTATGGTATTTCTATTTTTTTTAAGATTTTATTTATTTATATGACAGACGGAGATCACAATTAGGCAGAGAGGCAGGCAGAGATAGAGAGGGAAGCAGGCTCCCTGTTGAGCAGAGAGCCCGATGCGGGGCTCGATCCCAGGACCCTGGGATCATGACCTGAGCTGAAGGCAGAGGCTTTAACCCACTGAGCCAGCCAGGCACCCCTGGTATGTCTATTTTTAAAACTTTGGGGAAACTCTATCCTCTTTTCCACAGCGGCTCCACCAATTTATATTCCCATCAACGGGGCAAGAGGCTTCTCTTTTTTCCACATCCTCTCCAACACTTATTATTTCTTGTCTCTTTGATAGTAGTCAATTCTGACTTGTGTGAGGTGATATCTCATTGCATTTCCATAATGACTAGTGATGTCAAACAGATCATCTCTTGGCCATCTGTATGTCTTCTTTGGAAAAATGTCTATTCAGTTCCTCTGCATTTTTTATTAGATTTTTGTGGTGTTCATTTGTGTATCTAGATAAGTAGGAAGGTAGGTAGGTAGATATACATATATATGATGTATATACACTATTAACTCTTTATCAGATAGGTCATTTGCAAATATCTTCTCCTATTCAGCAGGTCACCTTTATGTTTTACTGACGTTTCCTTCCCTGTGCAAGAGCGTTTTAATTTGATGTAGTCCCGAATGTTTATTTTTGGTTTTGTTTCCCTTGCCTGAGGAGACAGATCCAAAAAATATTGCTAGGGACGATGTTCCTGAGTTTACTGCCTAAAAGTTCCTTTTAGGAGCTTTATGGTTTCAGGTCTCACATTTAGGTACTTAATCCATTTTGAGTTTATTTTTGTGTCTGCTGTAAGAAAGCAGTCCCGTTTCCATTTTTCTGCATGTGGCTGTCCAGTTTTCCCAGCACCGTTTGTTGAAGAGACTGCCCTTTCCCATTGTACACTCTTGCCTTCTTTATTGAAGATTAATTGACCATATAGTTGTGGGGATATTTCTGGGCTCTCTGTTGTGTGCCATTGATCTACGTGTCTGTTTTTGTGCCAGTACCATACTATTTTGATTACTACGGCTTTGTAGTATATCTTAAAATCTGGGATTGTTACACCTCCAGCTTTGTTCCTCTTTCTCAAGACTGCTTTGGACTGCGTAGGACTAAGCATTTTGTATACCATCTAACCACTGGCTTTATTTTCCTACCCTTATTTTTTCCCTTTCATCAGATTTCCCCACCAATTTATCTTATCTTCTTATATTGTAGGTATTTTTATAAGCTACCTCAAATCCGATATGGAATCAGATGAAGAATTAATCACAATGGGAGGGTGCTGACATCCTGGAATCCTTGTGAGCAGCAGGAAAGGAACTGGTGGCAAGAGAAAGAGCCACACGTTTTCTGTCGCCCAGAGCAGCACTGATCCACACAGAAAGGACCCACGTGGTGAGGCCTTGTGAGTAGAAGCCCCACGGAAGGCGCTATGAACCAGCAACGACACCATGCCTGAGTGAGGAGAGGAGAGCTAAGGACCTGGAACTCCCCAGTCCCCAGCTCTCCTGAACTGAGATGCACGGTGAGGAAACAGGGAGAAGCTGAGCTGAGCTGGGTTTCTGCGCCCAGTGAGACTCGAAACAGAAATAAGACACATCTTACAAAATAAGGAAAATTACACTTCTCACCCACGAGTTTGTGAGCCAAATGTAAAAACCCATTTTCCATAACAAAATGGGTTTGTGGCAGCTGGCACAGTAAGTTAGCTGTTCCTGAAATGCAGCCCGGACTCTGAGAGGGCTCCCCTACGTGGCCTCTCGAGGCAGGTTTGCCCAGGGTCCCCAGATCCTCTCCCTCAGCAAAAGGGTGTGGGTACGGTCTCATAAGTAAGTTTGCGACTTTGTTATTACAATCAGAATCCAGCCAAGAGAACATCTCACAAATACTTTCTATCTGTATTATTCCACAAGAAGATTTTCCACAATAAAAGGCATGGAATTACTAATACGACAGAAATAGATTTCAGAGGCGAGCTACAAGTGCTAATAAAGTCTACTTACAAATAATCCCAGGAGGATGTAATTCACAGGCACCTGACGGCGGAGTTTCCCACAGCAAGCAAGTACAATCAGTACAACAAAAAATGCCGGCCTGAGGATAATTTAAAGTCATGTGTTATTTGCTTCCAGTGATTATATCATATGATATAGGTAGATAAATAGAGATGGAGATATGTTACTATATATTATCATCTGATACTAAGTGTAAACAAAAATATATTCAGATGATTACCTTTGCTTTTTTTTTTTTTTTTAGCTTTTGAAACTAACTTTGCTCATTGCCAGCCATAGAATTTTTAAAATTTTTATTTTGAAATAATTATAAATTCACAGGAAGTTGCAAAAGACAGAGAGGTCCCGTGTATCCTTCACTCAGTTTCCCCCAATGGTTCCATCTTACATATTTATAGTATGATACCAACACCGTTAATTTGACATTGGTGCAATGTGTGTGTAATGCTGTGTCACAGAACTATGACACAGATCTGTGTAGATATGTGTAACCAGCACCACAGTTGAGATTTGAAACTATCCCATCACTAAAACATAAACAAGATCTCCCTCATGCCATCCCTTTGTGGTAACATGCACACACACCCCCTAGCTCCTAGTAACCACTAATTTGCTTGTTTTTTTTATCTCTATAATTTTGTCGTTTCCAGAATGTTATATTTTTTTTTAAAGATTTTATTTATTTATTTGACAGAGAGAGATCACAAGTAGGCAGAGAGGCAGGCAGAGAGAGAGGAGGAAGCAGGCTCCCTGCTGAGCAGAGAGCCCGATGTGGGGCTCGATCCCAGGCAGCCAGGATCATGACCTGAGCAGAAGGCAGAGGCTTTAACCCACTGAGCCACCCAGGCGCCCCCAGAATGTTATATCTTTATTAATTTTTAATAAAGAACCTCAATCAGTAGTTGGTAGAAAAATCACTTTTTATGAAATCCAAGAATACTTACAAGATTGCGTAGGTGAACCAAGCATTCATGAGCACCCAAGTTTTTAAACCTTTCCTGATTAAAAAAAAAATACAGTGTTAAACAATAAATTGTTTCTTTTTCTAACATAATATTAAGTAGAAGTAAAACAATCTCATGACAAAGGAGTAAACCTTAAATGATTGACAATGACAAATGAGTGAAATAATCAAACCTAGAACTATACCTTGCTTCTTAAAATAGACTCATAAAAAGATAGTCATATAAGTCAAATCTGTATGAATGTAAATGTCCCGGGGACATTTTTATTTTCAAAAAAAAAAAAATACTGAGATCACTATGTGTAGAAAGTGAAAAGAAAAAAAAAATCAACCTCTTATGTATTTGTTTTGTAAATGGAGATTTTCATGAGCTAGGTTTAAGCAATGATGGCTCATAGTCCCTGAAATATTTTCTGCATTTAACAGTGTTCCAAGTCTCTGCGGCCTCCAAAATCTCACCTTTTTTCTTTAAAAGATTTTATTTATTTCTTTACCAGAGAGAGAGGGAGAGCGCACAAGCAGGGGAAGCAGCAGGCAGTTGGGCTCTCTCTCTGCTGGGCAGGGAGCCCAACGCAGGACTCAATCTCAGAACCCCGGGACCATGACCTGAGCCAAAGGCAGACACTTAACCGAGTGAGCACCCAGGTATCCCTTCTTTTATCCACTTTTGCCTGTGGAAATAGCTCAGGGAAAATAGAAAATAAAATAGAGCCCAAATAAGAGTAAGACAAAAAGATCTCGGCTTAGGAAGCTGAAGCAAAACTGTAGAAATCTACCAATACCTCTAAGAGTTGCCTCAGAAACAACAAAGTGATAGAAATATCGTATCCTATGGATGATTAAGAAAAAATAGATAATGTTTAATGATCAGAATTAAGTTGATTCAATAAAAATTAAGGTGAACAACTTAGTATTTAATTTACATCAGTAACAACAACTTACCAGAAAAGAAACACGCTGACAATTGCCCCAGTGACCACCAACTGAGCTGACAGGATCAGGAACACTTTTATAATGAAAGCTGAAGAGACAGAAACATTATTTTTATGATACCATATTCAAAAGTAAAAATAGAAATGTAATTATCTATTTGTGATGCTTAACAAAAAGGATATTTCCTGTGACTTTTTAAGGTTGGGAAAAGGAGCACCAGTTAGAGTCAGCAAATTGAATAACCACAGAAATACAGCTCTGAACACTTTGTGGAAAATACTCCATTTGGATTGTTACAGGTGTTTTATTGGCGATCTGAGGGTTTACCCAGGGAAGCCCCAAAATCTAAAAGACAAACAGGGATTGATTGCTTACTAGTCACACCCCATCCTCCTTAGGACCCACAGTGACCTGAAAGTCTCTGGATGTTGCAGGCCATCGTGAGGGGTCCGGCTCCACCCGGGGACACAGGTACAGAAGGCAGTTAGCCCTCCGAGACGGATGCAGGCTGCGGGCCTTCTCAGAGCCTTCCCACCTCTTCTCTCGCCAGCCTGCCTGCCTGCAGCAATTCCCTTCCCTTCCCTTCACCTCGAGCAGAAACTAAATAAATGAGGAATTATAAGGAAGAACAAGGAGGTCGCAGCAGCATGCCAAAGCCAAGTACAGAGGATTGTCAGCATCTCTTTTTGCTTCCTCCCCCCTGCACAGCTCTTCCTGGAGCCCTCCGAATACGGTGTTAAATATGATGACAGTGAGCTGTTTGGTAGCTTTGTCTCCATTTTAAAAGAGAAAAAAATTCTGCTTGGAGATGACTGACAGGATTGTCAGCTGTGTCCTTTTTCTGGGTGGTGTCAACGTATAGGAAGGGGGAAAACAAAGAAATAGGATTGAGCTGTCTTAATCACAATGCCAGAACATATGTGCCCCAGTGTGGGCTGCCTATATTAAGATATTCAGGTGGTCAACATTTATTGCACATCTACTATATATCAGAGACTGGGAGGGAATAAATATTAAATGTGGCCCAGCCTTAAGACATAAGATTGTTAGAATAGAATCGACAGTCCAGAAATAATCCCTTATATTTATGGTCAACTATTTCTAACAAATGTGCTAGAACAATTCAAGGGAGAAAAAATAGTCTTCAACAAAAGGTGCTGGGACAACTGGACATACACATACCAAAGGAATGAATTTGGACCCTTTCCTCATGTCATACACTAAAACTAGTAGTTTAAAATGGATCATAAATGTAAGCATAAAAAACAAAACTCTTTAAAAAAAAAAAAGCAAAGTCTTGGGGCACCTGGGTGACTCAGTCTGTTAAGTGTCCAACTCTTGGTCTCAGCTCAGGTCATGATCTCAGTGTCTTGAGATCAAGCCCCACATCGGGGCTCCGCACTCAGCACGGAGTCTGCTTCCCCTCTCCCTCTGTCCTTTGGTCCCTCCCCTGCTCATGCATTCTTTCTCTCTTTCTAAAATAAATAAATAAATAAATAAATCTCTTTTAAAAAGAAACAAAACTCTTGGAAGAAAGGATAGACGTAAATCTTTGTGAGCAGAAATTAGGCAATGATTGCTTTAGATATGACACCTAAAGCACAAAGAAAGAAAGAAAGAAAAAAAAATTGGATTTCATCAAAAGTAAAAGTTTTGTGCTTCAAATGATACCATCAAGAAAGTAAAAGTGAAAGAAAGAACTAACAAACTGGGAGAAAATATTTGCCAATCATGTATCATGATACGGGACTTATACCTAGATTACACAAAGAACTCTTACAATTAAAAAACAGGCAGATAAATAATTAAAAATGGGCAGAGTTTGTGTAGTGCTCCGCCCGCTGACACTGGGCTTGGCCACATGATTTGTCTTGGCCAATGAGACGTAAGCATGCGTGAAGCCAGGAAAGGCTTGACAAGCTGCTTGCACAACAGGGCTTGTCTACCTGGTATACTTTTCCTTGGGAACCAGGATGATGATGATGATGAGAAATTCAAGTCACAAAGAGAAAGCCTACAACCAACACCAACTTCCAGCCGTGTCAGGGAGTCATAATGGCCACTTCAGCCTCAGCTGCCATCTGATTACAACTGCATTAGAACCCCCAGTCAAGACCAGCCCAAGAACTACCCAGCTGAATGCAGTCAATCCACAGAATCGTGAGAGATAACAAAATGGTTGCTGTGTTTTGGGCAGAGGACTTGTATAGATATTTCTTCAAAGAAGATACTAAATGGTCAATAAATTTGTGAAAAGATGCTCAACATCATTAGTCATTAGGGAAATGTAAACAAAACCACGAAGAGAGGGCGCCTGGGTGGCTCAGTGGGTTAAGCCTCTGCCTTCGGCTTGGGTCATGATCTCAGGGTCCTGGGATCGAGTCCCGCGTCGGGCTCTCTGCTCAGCGGGGAGCCTGCTTCCCCCTCTCTCTCTGCCTGCCTCTCTGCCTACTTGTGATCTCTCTCTGTGTGTCAAATAAATAAATAAAATCTTAAAAAAAAAAAACCACAAAGAGGTATCACCTCACATACACTAGAATAGCTATAAGAAGAAAGACAATAACGAGTGTTGACAAGGACGTGGAGAAACGGTCCCCCCTTATACACTGGTGGTTAGAATGTAAAATGGTGCAGCCGCTATGTTTAACATTCCTCAGAATTACCATATAACCCAGTGATTCCTAGGTAGCTACTACCCAAAAAAAAAAAATGAAGATACATATCTATACAAAAACTCAAATATGGATATGGATCATAGCATTATTCCTAATAGCCAAAAAGTAGAAACAGCAAATGTCTGTCAGCTGAAGAATAAATAAACAAAATATGTTCTAACAAGGCGTTGGAATACTATATGAGCATAAAGAAGGAATGAAGTTCGGAAACATACTACAAAATGGGTGAACCTTGAAAACCTTATGGTAAGTAAAAGAAGGCAACCTCAAAAGGTCACATATCATAGGATTCCATTGATGTGAAATATCCAGAACACACAAATTCATAGAGACAGAAAGTAGGTTAGTGGTTGTCAGAGGCCAAGGGGCAGGATGGGATGGGGATTGACTGCCAATGGGTATGAGTTTCTTTTTGTGGTGATGGTTGCACAACTCTGTAAATATACAAAGAATCGTTGAATTGTACCCTAAAGAAGGGTGAATTTTATGATCTGTAAATTGTATAAAGCTGCTTTAAACAGTGATAGCTCCCCAGCTGCATAGCTTTTCATCCATTACCCTGCTATACTTTCCCTGTTTCCATAGGACTTTCATTTTTTGGCATACCATATAATTTTTTTAAAGTGGGACAGGGCCCAGTCTCTGCTCTCCAGGAGAGACAGACCCAAATAACTAACTCTAATGGTGATGAGGAGGTCTTCACCTGATTTCCTCATGTGTTAAATGACACTACAACGCCTTCATGTACAGAGTTGTTGTAAGGACTAAATGCAAAACTCTTCTTACACAACTCCCGGTGCTGAAGAACTGGCACTGGGGGCAGAGGTGGCTCATGGCTCCATTCTCCCTGGCTTCCTCACCACCCAATCCCTATCTGGTTAAAAAGGACAAGTGGCTCAACCAGAAAGCTACAGGTGGAGGTGGCTGTGAGATCCCGGCAGGGTCAATGGCATGCAAGTGGAAATTCTTGGGTATGGTTTCTAGGAAAGCCTCTGAAAAGAATTTGGCTTACTCTCAGGCATTTATCCATGAACAGCACCTCTTGGAGCTTTCGAGGCAGCAGAGCAGGCTTGGCCTTTCTTTGCCTTTGCCTTTCCCTACCTGGAAAGCTAGGGATCCAAAGGCATCTTTCCAGGCACAAGATGGGGGATGAGGGCCACAGGGAGACACAATGGGACTCAAAGCTCACAGTCCACCTTTAAGTTGTCCAAGCCCTAAGAAGGTCTAAGGAGGACACACTGGTCATGCCTTGAACTGCATATTTCATGGAAGGAAAAAGACATTTATTGAAGCCACAGTTCTCTAGGTTTCTACTGCTCATAGCTGAATGTATTTCCCATACAAAATTAATATCTAGGGGCATTGAATTAATATGCTTTAAAACTAAAGCCAGTAACATAGCATCACCTTGTAGGGAGGTAAGAACATTCTACAGTCAGTGAGTAATTCATATTTCCTCAGGGAACCACACATTATTTGCCATAATACGTTTATTATGAATTTCTGAATACCCTGGACAACTTAGGGGCCATCTCCCACCACAGCCCTGTATCATGTTTCATGGTAAAGCATGACTGGGAAAAACTAAAGGTCAAGTTAAACCTCCTAACAATCCACTCTGTGGAAGCATTTTGAGAGAACACTTGCTTTTCTCTTCCAAAAGGATAATTTTATGCTCACCTCTGCGGATCGATGCATCTGAGAATGGACTGGCTAAATTATTGCTCTCATCTGGGGTGGTCTCATCTGAAATTTGTACCACATAGACATCCGTTCGCTCTCTCATCTTTGAATGTGGATTCCCGTGAGTTTTTTGTGGCTCAGAAGGTGCAGATGTGGAGGACTGACCAGACTTGATTTGGACGTTACTATCTGCTGCTTTCCGAACCAGATGATGATGACCTCCAGAACTAAAGTCTGTTGGTTCACTGGCCTCCAAGTCCATTTTCCTGGAGGGGGAGAATTGTTATTCAAGTCCTGTGCTCATGACTACTACAATCTTAGCATTCTCATAACTTTCAAATGATTTTTTTCTTTTCTCATCTTTTAATTAAAAAAAATTATTTTTTATTTTTTAGTAGGCTCTACACCCAACATGGGGCTTGAACTCACAACTTTTAGATCAGGAGTCACATGCTCTACCCACTGAGCCAGCCATGTGCCCCTCAGATGATATTTTCTTAACTGTAACTCCCTTAGCTCAGGACTTACCAAATCAATACTTAACAAATATTTACTGGATAAATGATGAACAAATACTTTTAAGATGAGGCCTATAGAGTGAAATAACTTGCGTTTTATAATGAAATTAATATGTTTATAAATTCATCCGCAAGGAGTTCGTAAGTTCCCTCTTATGTGCCAAGTGTGGAGCTACCCAGGTCACCTCTACCTTCAAAGTACTTATATTTTGGAAGAGAAGATAATAAAACAAGCAGTGGTATAAAAGCCAAAATAAGCAGGGTCAGGAATGATGGAAGATGATACAAGAGCCCCTCATAATGTCGGTAGGAACATGCAGGACATAGAAGAGGTGGTCACAAGCTTCCTGAGAAAGTCAAGTTTCATCCAAGACTGGAAGATGAGTAGGAGGAGGAGGTGGGGAAAGGTTTTCTAAGGCAGGGGAGGCAGCCTGGACCAGAACTGGAACAGAGAGGGCAGGTTCCAGAGCAGAATGAGGTTAGACAGAGGGCCAGTTAGGGCAGGTCAGTGAGTGACTGGCAAGCAAATCCATCCTGCAGGCCATGGCCACAGCAGGCAGAATGAATGGCCCTCCCCACCCACAGATGTTCACACCCTAATCTCTGGGACTTGTGAATGTCACCTCACATGGCAAAGGGAACATTGCTGATGTGATGAGCTAAGGACTCTGAAGTGGGGATAAGATCCTGGGCTCTCTGGGTGGGCCCAACTGAATCACAAGCGTCCTTATGATCATACTTATAAGATGGAGGCAGGAGGATTGGAGTCACAGAAGGAGAGGTGACAACCAGAGCAGAGGTCGGAGTGACAGAGCTGCTGTCTCTAGTGATGGAGGAAAGGGCCATGAGCCAAGAACGCAGGAGACCTCAGCAAGTTGGAAAAGGCAAGGACAGGTATTTTCCCCTAGCTCCTCCCAAACCGAATGCTGGCACTTTTAGGCCAGTGAGACCGATCTGGGATTTCTGACTTGCAGAACTGTAAGAGAATAGATTTGTATTGTTTTAAGGCATTATATTAGTAGTGGTTTGTGACGGCCATAGGTAACTAATACAATGGGGGAGTTACTGAAGGTTCTCCAGCAGGGGACCATGGAGATCTGACTAGAAAGACTGCACTAGGGTGTCTCAGTCGGTTAAGCGTCTGCCTTCGGGTCAGGTCATGATCCCAGGGGTCTGGGATCGAGTCCCACCTCGGGCTCCCTGCTTGGCAGAAAGCCTGCTTCTCCCCCTCCCTCTGCCTCTCCGTCTCTCTCTCTCTCTCTCTCTGTTTCTCATTAATAAAAAAATAAAATCTTAAAAAAAAAAAAAGACTGTAATGGGCACAGTGTGGAGAAAGGACCAGAATAAGCAAAGAGACCAGAAATCCAGATGAGAAGTTACGGTGGCTCTGATACAGTGCTTTGGAACAGAGCACAGTTCTTAGAAAACCAGTACGAAATGAACCAAAAATGGCAAAGAAAAGCCTCCCATTAGCTTCACAGAGACATGAAGACTCAGACAAGCCCCTGTTCCTGGCCTCCTGCCTCACAAAGAGGAGTCTGAGGAGACTGCCGAGAAAGCCAGGACTTGGGCAAACCATAGACCAATGGGAATGGCATAAAAAGAAGGTCTGAACAGAACACCACACTCTTGGAAAGGCTGACTCCATTTTATATAGATGTCCTTCTCAAATTAACCTATAAATTTTACAAAATTCACTGAGATTTATTTTTCATACTTGAAAACGTAACTCAAAAGTTCATCAGAAAGAGTAAATATATGAGGATAATCAAGAAGAAAATTGAAAGTGAAGGATTCTGGGGAGCTGGGGAGTACTGACTTACCTTATTGGAAACCAAAACATCATGAAGCTACAGGATGAAAAGCATGGTTGTAGTATGTCAATAAATAAACAGATCGATGGGATGGAAGAGTTGTAAGAAATAGACCCACGTGTATATGCAAATTTAAAATTTGATAAAGGGGGGTGCCTGGGTGGCTCAGTTGGTGGTCAGACTCTTGATTTTGGCTCAGGTCATGATCTCAGAGTCATGAGCTTGAACCCCGTGTCGTGCTCTGTGCTCAGAGGGGAGTCCGCTTGAACTTCTCTCTTCCTCTCCCTCTGCTCCTCCCCCACCCCACTCATTCTCTGTCTCTGTCTCTGTCTCTGTCTCTCAAATAAATAAATAAATATTTAAAAAAAAATTTTTTTAAAGGTGGCATTTCAAATTATTGCCCCATAGTATTGGAACAAGTAGCTGTGCTTAGAAAACAAAGTTCAATAACTATTTCACGTCTTTTACAAAAATACATTCCAGATGAATTAAAGATATTATATAATAATAGCCATAGATATTCTACAGGAAAATATCAACAAGTATTTTTGTAAGCCTTGTAAAAATGATACCATAAAGGAAATTCTTGCCAGATTTGGTGTACAAGAAGCACTTTTAATATCATTACAAAAAGAGACCAATAGGGGCGCCTGGGTGGCTCAGTGGGTTAAAGCCTCTGCCTTCGGCTCAGGTCATGATCTCAGGGTCCTGGAATCGAGCCCCGCTTCAGGCTCTCTGCTTAGCAGGGAGCCTGCTTCCCTTCCTCTCTCTCTGCCTGCCTCTCTGCTTGTGATCTGTCTGTCAAATAAATAAAATCTTTAAAAAAAAAGAGAGAGACCAATAACTCTGAAATGCAAAAGTATGAAAATAAAGCATGCAATGTTTACTATACTGTAAGAAGAAGGTTTTATTTTTAAGATTTTTTTTTTAATGTATGTATATGACAAACAGAGATCACAAGTAGGCAGAGAGGCAGGCAGAGAGAGAGGAAGGGAAGCAGGCTCCCTGCTGAGCAGAGAGCCCCGTGCAGGGTGAGGGGGGTGGGTCGATCCCAGGACCCCGGGATCATGACCTGAGCCGAAGGCAGAGGCTGTAACCCACTGAGCCACCCAGGCACCCAAAAAGAAGTTTTTAACAAGGAAAAGATGAGCAACTCATCAGAAAGATGAGAAAAGAATGTTAATAGGCAATTCATAAAGGAACTTAAAGTGGTCAATAAACTTAGGAGATAATACCTCACAAATAACAAAGAAATGCAAATAAAAACAATTGTGTACATTTTTCCCCCCAAAAGTAAAACAGATAATTTTCAGAGTTGCAAGGGTGTGGAGAAATGGATAACCCAGGGCCACATTCTGACCTGTGGGGGTCCTATATACATTTGCCTTTGAGGGGACCCTCTCTATAAAACAATATTTAGATGTACATTTTATGGCTGCACTGGCATAAAAAAATACGATCCAGGCTGGATTCATTATACATTATTTATTCATTATTATTATATTCACTTTTTTCCTCCTGATTGTAAAGGAAATTGAATTATTTTCATGATGCTTAAACCCATGTCGGGCCCTAGGCAACATGCCTCCTGTGCCTGGAGGCTAAGTCAGCCCTGAGATAACATCAAGCAGTTGACCGGGTGTAAACCTTTCTTTTGTCCGTAATTTGGCAGCATCAGATTCAAAATGTGCATTACGTTATACCCAACAATTACATTTTCAGGAACTTACCCCATAAAACTACCCACACAAATGGGCAATGATACATATTTAAGACAGTTCATTACATTATTCACTGTAACTGCAAAAAAAATTTTTAAACAGACTAAATCAATCCTTAAGAAATGGTTAAATTGATTTTAGCAAAGAAAAGGAAGGTATATATGGATTGATGTCAAAAGTTTCCTCCGACGCACTGTTGAGTAAAAAAAGCTCTAGTAGAGAATAATATGTGGTAGGATCGCTTTCATGTCTTATACATCACACACATACACATTTCCAGAAGCTGAAGAGATGTAGGACAAACTGTTAATATTCTTAGCTCTAACACTGCAGAGCTGGGGAGTACACTGAGTTGTATGAATTTTTATAATGAGCATTTATTATTTATACTAAAAAGATATTTACATTTTGAAGAGAAAAAGAAATATTTCTCTTTTTGATAAAATCTGGAGCTCCTCTGAGGAAAACTGTCCTCACACTCAGCTGAGAAGCACTGAAAGATGCCGGAACACCCAAACTGGTTTCCTCCTTGGCGGTCCTACAAATCAGAACGGGGGGCGGGGGGGGAGGCAGCGAGAGAATTTCAAAGCACTCAAAACCAAAACCAAACAAAAATCAAAGACAGCTGAGTTTTCCTCATGAAACTACAGTTGGCTGGTGCCTTAATCATAAAATGAAGCATTCACCTGGTCCTCAGAATTCTTTCTTGCCTCCAGAGCCAGTGGTCATCCCAAGGACAGTCGGGCCCTGGGGCTGAGAAAGAAGTTCTGAGTGACAGTTAGGGGAGTGGCAGTTGGAGCACCGGCTGGGCCAGGGGTCCTGCGGCCTAGAAGAGGGGCTCCCCGTCAAGTCTATCTGCTGAGACTCCTAGTGCTCTAAGGCTGTATGCTGAGTCTCAGGGAGGCCTACGCCTGAACCTCCAAAGCCAATGGCATGTCAGAGTCCTAAACCCTTAGCCCAAGGCTTCCAGAAGACCTGGTGTCCTTACCTTCTCCTGAGCAGGAGGAAGATACTTCAGAAACCTCACTAGGGACCCTGAACAATTATTTCAAATAAGTAAGACTTGGTTCTGACAAAGCAGGCACTGGTTTTTCTGGGGGATGATAACGCACCCCCTTCCCCCCATGGTATAGGGAGATGCCTCCCCCGGGCTGCCAGCCAATGAGCCCAGGAAGCTTGATTCAGGCTGCCAGGTGAGAGAGTCAGACGACGGGGTAGCTGGACAGCAAGGAGAGGCATGGGGACAGATGCTTGTCCTGAATGGAGACTGCTTCTGAGAACAGGCTGACTGATGTATTAACCCACCCATTAAACTACCCATCAGGGCATGCCTACTATGTGCAGGGCAGAGAAGAAACACAAAGAGGAAGAAAGCTAAGCTTCCTGTCCTCGCATGCTCACAGTCCCGTGGAGGAGACATGGATGCAAAGCCACACCGTAAGGTCGGCAAAGGAAGGGACAGAGCAGGGAAGCTATGTCAGGGAGTTGAAGAATGGAGAGGCATCCTGAGCCAATTCTGGAGAGGACAGGCTGGGGTGGGAAGCGTTGGGAGGGAGCACATTCCAGGGAGAGGGAACAGCCTGAGGACAGGGCACGGGTCTGGGAGCCGTGGGACACCTGCACAACAAAGTGATGGCATTAGGTTCTCACAGGGAAGGTATGTCTGGAGTGAGAGATGGACAGCATGAGCCCCTCCTGAGGATGAAAAAGGGAAAGGCTGGCAAGCATGTCTGCCTGGGCTCTCCTCTCCTGCACCTGCTGGCAAGTGTCACAGTTCTCACTCACGCTCTGTCCCGTCCAGTCTCTCTCCCTGGTTTGTCCCCTGTAGACAATTTGAGTTAATTGATGTTTTCCCAAGGTTGCCTGTCAGGAGGGTATAACCAATGACTTGACTGATCTGATAAAAAAAATGCTTCGTCTTCTTCTCCTATTGGCCTCAGAATCAACATTAACCCGGCACTTACCAAACATAGAAGTGTTTACAACCTCACATGTACTAACTTACCGACTCCTCAACGTGACCCCGGGAGGGACGTGCTCTTGTCATCCTCGCCTGACAGGTAAGTAAGCGGAGACGCAGGTGCTCTGCCCCGGAGCTGCACAGGACAAGGGTCTGAGTGCCCAAGGAGCCCCACAGTGCCCATACCCACCAGGACACAAAACAAGATGCACAGTACTCTCTTTGAAACCAGGCTGTGGTATATTTATTCCTGTCTCCACAGCACACGCTTGCTCGCTATCTCTCTCTCTCTCTCTCTCTCTCTCTCTCTCACACACACACACACACACACACACACACACACAGACACGGTGAGTAGAATTTTCTCAGGCATCCCCACAGGCACAGATTGTCTCTGTGTGCAGTTGAACCCTCTCCCTGCGTCCAGGCTGGGTCTCTCTCTCTGCTTTTGTTTCAGTCTGAGATCTCTCACTGGCACCTGGGCACTGGGGAGCCCAGCCTGGATGGTTGTGGTTCATGCTCTTTCTGAGGTCCCAGGAAGGGAGCAGGGGATTGGGTTACAGACTTCATTGAGTTGCCTTCCTGAGTTCTTTCCTTGCACCCATTTCCCTCACCTCCCAACTTGCCCCTCCGCCCCTGGCCCCATCACATTCTCTGCCTAGCAGCCCTGTTTGTCCCCGTGGCACATGGCTCTATTATGCTCTAGCGCCGTCTGCACAGGACTTAATGGCTTTGCTGCTTGGAGAAGCCCACTTACTGACTTAGGAAAAGCCAAGCACAAGAACTGATCAAATCTTCACACAGCCCTGAGGTGGGCAATACCATCCTCACTCTACAGACAGTAACCAGAGCTGCGTGAGGATGTCCAGCCACCAGTCCTTGAAGGAGACCCAAACCACGGTACACCGCTATCTCCAGCTAGGAGAGGATTTGTAAGGCTGATAAACTGCCATTGTTTCCTTTTTTCCCACTAGATATTTTCTTTTCTTACTTTTTTTTTTTTTAAGATTTTGTTTATTTGACGGAGAGAGAGATCACAAGTAGACAGGCAGGCAGAGAGAGAGGGAAAAGCAGGCTCCCCGCTGAGCAGAGAGCCTGACGCGGGGCTCGATCCCAGGACCCTGAGATCATGACCCAAGCTGAAGGCAGAGGCTTAACCCACTGAGCCACCCAGGTGCCCCTCCCATTAGATAATTTCTTTTTTTTTTTTTTTTTAAATAAAAGGAGCAGTTGATGTAGTGAAAAAAATTCAAACAATACAAAATGAAAAGTGAAAGTCTCCCTCACCAATTCTGTAACCATCAACTGACAGCAGTTTTCTAATGGACTAAAACAAGTATTCATCACACACATACAGCTTTTAAATTTACATAAAGTGATCATATTTTATACATTGTTCTATAAATTGCTTTCTTTCCTTTATCCTTTCATATCAGCCCACAGAAGAACCTCAATTAAATTGTTTCCTGTGTCGCCCAGGATGAAATCCAAAGTCTTTACTTTGGCCCACATAATTTTTTTAAAAAGATTTTATTTATTTATTTGACAGAGATCACAAGTAGGCAGAGAGGCAGGCAGAGAGAGAGAGGAAGAGAAGCAGGCCTCCCGCTGAGCAGAGAACCTGATGCGGGGCTCGATCCCAGGACCCTGGGATCATGACCTGAGCTGAAAGCAGAGGCTTCAACCCACTGAGCCACCCAGGCGCCCCATGGCCAACATAATTTTGATGCAAAAATTTGACAAAGATATTATAAGAAAGGAAAATTACAAGCCCATCTTACTCATGAACATAGATGCAAAAATCTTAAAAGTATTAGTAAACTAAACCCAGCAATATGTGAAAAGGATAGTATATCACGACCAAGTTGGATTCATTCCAGGAGTTGTAATGTTAATTTAACATTCAGAAATATGTCCATGTAATCCACACATAGAAACAAATAGAAATAGAAGGGAACTTTCTTAACCAAAGGGAATCTACAAAATCTATGATGGCAGAAGTCAGTGTAGCTGTTATCTCTGGGTAAGGGGCAAGTGGGTGTTTTTGTGATGGTAACATTCTATTTCTTGATTTTGTGGTTAGAGTTACTTTGTGATAAAAGAGGTAAAAAATGGGAGTTCTTCCTGATGATCTCAGCAGGGTGAAGGGCATGACTGGAAGTTATGGGAACTGACAAAAACAGGAGATGGAGATGGAGATGCGGGCTGCGAAAGAATGGAGGAAACAGGGTTTGGGTGTTCATGTGGATGTTGACCCAACCCAGGATAGTGTCCTATGATGGAGAGGAAGCTGGTGAGCCAGGGGTCAAGGTTCTCTGTGAATGAGAGGGAGTAATATGTAGATGAAGTACAAAGAGAAGTATACACTAGGAGATGGAGACATGCATTAGGGTGCATGAAATTTATGTAGAAGATGATTACAACCTCACATGTACTAACTTATGGACTCCTAGATGCGCCTTACTGGGCGAATGGTTCTAAAACAAGGAGACAACAGTCCTTATCTATTTTCCTCAACCACTTTTATAGTTGGTCTTAATCCCCACGAAGGTACTGGAAAGTGGTTAATATTTCGTTCTACTATTGGGGAAACCTAGATTCAGAGCAAGAATGCCTGAGCCACAGCCCAGGCCCCAGGGCTTTTTGAGGGCCTTGGGATGTGGTGTCAGAGCAGAGACTGTGTCTGCCAGGGGTCCGAATCATGGTCCCTCCATTGATCATCAGTTTACAATAAAATAGGGGTAGTAACTTCTTTCAGGGTTGTCATAAGCACTAAATGAGATTTTGTGACATCATAGGCATTCAATACAAGTTTTCTTCTTTCTCTCCCTGGGCCATGCCACCAGCATGTTCATTGGGATGTCTCTAAGTGTATCCAGTCTAGAAAACCCAGGATCCTGAAAACAGGTATGCAACCACTAAGCTAGGAAGTGAGGCTGAAAAGCAGAGACTCCTTTCCCTGGTGAGGCTTGTTCTGGTAGCCACATTAAAAAGAAGGGAGCTGGCTTGTCATAATGCTCTCTAGGCCAAACCCGTTGTCTTTCCACTCTGATGCCATCACGGGCGTGCTGATCAGAGGCTACAGGATCTGTGATAACATCGTCACCCAATGGCTAAGGAACGTGTGCTTGACATCGCAGGCTTTAAAACGTGTTTCCACTTCTAATGCATAAATGGATACAACTCATATAAACAAAAGTACTTGAGGGTCTAAATTATAATTTTTAGGAGTGTAAAGGCGTCCTCAGCAGGAATGTCAGATTTAGCAAATACAAATCCAGCACACCCAGTTAAATCTGAATTTCCGGTAAACAACAAATGCTGCGTGGGATACACGCATATCAAAATATTAATCGTTGCTTGTCTGAAATTCGAATTTAATTTGGCGTTCTGCATTTTACCTGTCAATCCCACACCTAAAGCCAAAAACTGTTTTAACATCTTTCCCCAGAAGGCTACCAGGTCCGAACTACAGTCCACTTCAGATGTTCCGAACAGGGCACTTCCGGTCGGGGGGCTGCGGAGGCCTGCGTCGCTCAGGCCCCACCCATCGCCGGAAGCCTTCCAGGCCAGGCCCCGCCCCCGGGCCCGCCTCCCGGCGCTGTGGGCCGCCCGCGGCTGTTGTCGGTCGAAGAGCGGGTGGAACCGCCTTCCCGCCTCCAGGGGGCAGCGGTCGCCCTCGTGTCCCTGCGTGGACAGCTCGGCGGCCGCGCCGCTCTTCCTGTCGCTGGGAGTGGCGGGCCGACCAGCGGGCGGCCCGGGCCGGCGGTCGCCATTCCCGTATCGCTGCGCCCGCGGGGGCCGCCCGAGCCCGCCACGATGCCCCTGGGCCTGAAGCCCACCTGCAGCGTCTGCAAGACCACGTCGTCCTCCATGTGGAAGAAGAGCCCGCAGGGGGATATCCTCTGCCACCACTGCACGGGCCGGGGCGGCGCGGGCGGCGGGGGCGCTGGCTCGGGGGCGACTGGTGGGACTGGGGGCAGCAGCGGCGGTGGCGGCTTCGGCGCGGCGACCTTCGCCAGCACTTCGGCCGCCCCTCCGCAGAGCAACGGGGGCGGGAGCGGCAAGCAGGTGAGCTCCTTCGGCCCCTCTGGCGGGCGGAGTCCGACCGGGCGTGGGGTGGGCGGAGATGGGCCGGGCGGGGACGGGGCGCGCGCGTGGGCTCTCCCAGATCTCGGTGACCCTGCTAGAGAGGCGCGCCCGCTCCCACCCACGATGAGATCTTCCCTGATTTGGCCCATTCTAAGCACCTTTTGTTATTGTGGGAAATTGAAAGTGTAAAGAAGCAAGACAATTTAAAACCCTTCAGAAATCCCCGTCGTCGTAATCACATTTGCGGTAGTAACCAGACCTCTCAATACACACACGTATACACACACGTAAACGGGTCATGCTACTGGACCCACTTTCCCTGTTAAAGTTTATTATTAGTTAATGTTATTAAGTAAGATTACCATGTCATTGTTTTAATTGGCAGCGTAAGTATTCCATTGTAGAAAGTTCCACACCTAGCCCGCTCCCTGGGGTTGGGGAGCTGAGTTGTTAAGGGATGTTCTACACTATAAACACAACAAACGAATAGTTCTTGCTTTGGCCTAGGCTTCCTGGTGCACCTCTCCCATGACCTATTGTAAGTAGTTCACACCTTTTTGGAGGCTCTGGAGATGCTTGTCTAGGGCCCTCCCTGTTTTAATTAGCCCAGTTCTGGGATTACAACAGGGTAAATAGAAAAGCCACATTCTTACTTAATTTTTAAATAGCATTAGGTGGATACTCTGAAGTCCTTGTAAGATGGTGGTATCGGGACAGCAATCTTTCTACAATTTTATTTCTTTATCTTTTTTTGTTCTTTAATTGTTTATATAACAGAGTAAGCAGGAAATTCACAGGAGGTCTGCTCGGCTCAGAAACACTAAATACAAATCTGCTCCAGCTGCTGAAAAGAAAGTTTCCACGAAAGGAAAAGGGAGAAGACATATTTTTAAATTAAAAAACGTAAGATGATTGTGGACAGTGTCTTTTACAGTAATGGCATTGTGTGTGTAGTGTGTCCTGTCAGCGCCTTCATCTCTCATCTGAACTTTATTCTTCCCCGCGTTTCTGCGGTATTCTGGGGAGTGGTCCACACTTCTTAAAAGTGAGCTCCGTTGCAGGAAGCTTACTGTTTATAATTAATAATATCCTTTCTCTTTTTTTCGCTTTTAATTTTTTTCACTGGAAAATATATGAGTCTAAAAGAAACATAAACCTTGAATGCATTTGATTGGGTCCTTTCTGCAAGGAGGAGGTGGGATTATGTTTCTTGATATGGTCGGATATATTAGGGGGAAATTTTTTTTTTTATTCTTTAAAGATCAAAGTAAATAATACTGGAACTCATTCATTTCCATATTTGTTTGTTATTACAGCCCCAGAAAATGTATCTTACTGACTTATGATAATCAGTTGATGAATGTGAATCAAAAATTTTGCCAAACCTTTCTTCTACTGTAAAAACTGGATGGTTGAAAAACTTGTGCCGGGGGTAGTTGAAAGCACCTGTTTTTGCAGTAAACTCTCAGTATTTTTGTAACACAAGGGGAAAATGGTCATACACAGTGGATGGTGCGTTGTAGTCTACTTTTTTAAACCTCAGGTTGATGTTCTTTCCTTTCAGAACAGGAATGCTTCCCTTACCAGTGAAGGCATTTCTGAAGATGGGCGTATTCATTTGTGAAACACAAGTAAATTCTTGTGCCGATTGCAGATTCTTAATCAGAATAGTTGCCCCTAACTGATTTAAGACTTTTATAATTTGGTTTTCTTAAAATGAGGTACCTGTTGACAAAGTGTGTTAAGTAAATGCATGTGACTGTAGTCATATTGCTCACAGTTTCGTATCGCTCACAGTTTCCTCCTCTGTGTGGTGGAGTCTGCTCCGCAATTATTTTAGTATCTGTTTCGCTAGCAACCCCTCTTCAAGGTTGTTCCCAAGACACATTTGGGGAGGCCCGGTTTTCGTGTTGTGGCATGTAAGCGTGTACTACAGCTTAAGAAGGGATGGCAGTAATGGCTGGGTGGTGGCAAACGACTTAGGACTCCAAGGAAGTTTCATGTAAGCTGAGTTCGGCCTCGCTGGAAAATTACTTCTGATGACTAGGTGATCCCCAGCTGGTTCCATGGTTAAGTTGAGACGGAAAACGTCTTCAAGGAGACACTTTTTCACCTTGTGTTCACCTACACGTTTTATGCCTTCTGCTCCCGTTACGGCCAGGCCTTCACAGCCAGGATATTGTTTCCAACCCAATGTTAGTATGTAATGAAGCTTCAAAAGCGCTTGAGATAGATCTCAGCAGCAATGTCAGAAGTTTGTGCTTTAGTTCTCAGCAACTTTTAAGCTGACAGTAGCAGATATAGCCACAGAATTACTCAGACTGTGGTTTGCCACAACATTCAAAAAATCGTTCAGCTTTTTATTGCACTTCTTGTCAACGAGCAACAGATTTAGTATTTCTTAAGTCACAGAACTCTTGTAGATGACTGGAAAAATGCCTGGATACACTACACACACATACACACTAGGTATGTGCTAATATTTTTACTTTTTTTTTTTTCCCCTAGCCCATCAAAGCTCCTGAGTCTGTTTCCACTATAATCACTGCAGAATCAATCTTCTATAAGGTAAGCATCTATGGAGTTACTGTGGGACGATTTGGGCCTGTTGTATGGTATACTGCCAAATGTTGGATTTGTCTAAATGTCTCTGCTCCTCTGTATAACGTGTGACTGTTTTTTGTTCTTTTCTTTTTTTTTTTTTTTTTTTAAAGATTTTATTTATTTGACAGAGACAGTGAGACAGAGAACACAAGCAGGGGGAGTGGGAGAGGGAGAAGCAGGCTTCCCACTGAGCAGGGAGCCTGATGTGGGGCTCCATCCCAGGACTCTGGGATCATGACCTGAGCTGAAGACAGATGCTTAACGACTGAGCCACCCAAGCACCCTGTTTTTTGTTCTTTTCTAAGCTAGTTTTCCCTGTATATGGCAGGTATAAAACATTTCATCCAGAGCTGAGATAGGAGGGGTAGTTGCTTATTGAAACATGGTATTTTTAAATATTTTAAAATGCTATTGTATAGTGTGGAGTCATGAAAGCATGAGCCACCCTCGTCACTGTGACAGTCACTGTGGGAGAAGCACAAAACGGGGACTTGGACAAAAGAGGGAGTAGAGACTTGATATCTAGTGGGTTGGGGAGGCAGAGAGATTCTAAAATGCCTTTAAGCAGAAGTGAGAGGAATTAGGGCAATAGCAGGGGTTAACATCTACAAGAAGCAGATGGTGAGAGTCCAAAATATTTTGATAAAAGAGTGAGGAAGTCACTGGGGCGCCTGGGTGGCTCAGTGGGTTAAGCCTCTGCCTTCGGCTCAGGTCATGATCCCAGGGTCCTGGGATTGAGCCCCGCATCGGGCTCTCTGCTCAGCAGGGAGCCTGCTTCCCCCTCTCTCTGCCGGCTTCTCTGCCTACTTGTGATCTCTGTCTGTCAAATAAATGAATAAAATCTTAAAAAAAAAAAAAAAAAAGAATGAGGAAGTCAGGTTTCCTAGGGCCAGAGGCCACAGACAACCTGCTCCTTTGGCAGGAGACATGACATATCATTATTTTTGAACCAGAAGGCTTAGGAAAGCAGTTGCAACACAGAAACGGCTTCCACAGCCTGGCGGTCCTGACACAGGCAGCAGCCATTACATGCTGTTGGTGTTTTGGGGTCTGAACTATTGGCACCAGTTAGTGCTTCATATCTGACCCAAGTGGACCAGACACTGAGAAACTCAAGTGTGATACTCTGTGTGTACCTTTTATGTTGTCAGTAGCCCAGGATCTGTGTAGTCTAGAACAGCCTCTACACAGGCAAACATTGCTCCTATGTTTCCGGCATTTCAGGCATTGCTAATAATAAAGTAGCTAAAGTTTAGTATGTGTTTGGTGTGTGTCAGGCCTTGAGGTGAGCGCTTCATAGGCTTTACTTCATTCTTTGAAGTAAACTCCACTCTGTGAAGTGCTACTGTTTTCTCCGTTGTATGGATGAAGAGTAAAGCACAGAGAATTTCAAGAACTTGTCAAAGATTCTCTCGCCAACAAGTCACGGAGCGAGGCAGTCTGCTGGCAGAGCTCAGCTCCTGGCTCCATTGGCAAGTGGCTGTGTGACTGCATTGAGACCAGCCTTTCTGGTGTTTCTTCATCTATAAAAGAGGGGTTGTAAATAGTAGCCACCTCAGTGGGTCACGCGAGGTCCTGTTTGTTAAGCACTTAGCAGAGTAAGCACTCAATGAATAGTAGAAATTAGCATCGTCAGGTTTTCAAATTTGTGTATCACTCTCAACGCTGAACATAGTTTATAGATTAAGTCCAGAAGCAACTGGTTGGGAGGCACCTGGCTGGCTCAGTCAGTAGAGCATACAGCTCTTGATGTTGGGGTTGTGAGTGCAAACCCCATGTTGGGTATAGAGATTACTTAAATAAATAAACTTAAAAAAAAAAAAAAAAGAAAAAACTGGTTTGGCTAAGGATTTAGTGTACTAATGATTTCCAGGCAAGTCTCAACCAAAAGGCAAAAGGTGTGTGGAACCTGTTATTACAAGTATCATATTTCTATTTTTTTTTTTAAGATTTTATTTATTTATTTATTTGAGAGAGAGAGAGAGAGAGCGTGCATGTGCATGCATGTGCACACTGAGCGGGAAGCCTGCTGTAGGGCTCTATCCCAAGACCGGGAGATCACTACCTGAACCAAAGTCAGACGTTTAAGTGCTTAAAAGACTGAGACACCCAGGCACCCCTCAAATATTGTATTTCTTATTGCTGTCTGCCACCCCTGTTCGTTAGACAATAAGGACAAAGTGCATCAAAATGTTGAGGTCCTGCTGCCGATACGCAGGATTGCAGAGGCTGCTGCTGCAGGTAGCACTGGGGCAGGAGGGCTTAAGAGGTCATTGCCATCTGCTGAACTCGAGCCCAGATCAGGCATGCCAGAGGGAGCTGAGTGCAGCCGCTGGGTTTGACAGCCAGGAGTATGGGCACCCAAGACCCCAAAGGGTTGAACGGCCTCCCTGTGGCAGAAGAGCCGCGTGAACAGCTCTGCTTCCTCCTAATCCAGTGTTCACAGTATTGCGTTGATCTTCTTTCTCTTCTGCCAGAAACCCTGAAACCTCCCTGCAAATGAAGGGACTCCTTAGATTAAGTGCCTTAGTCATGATTAGTGCTTTTTGTATATCCATGCACAACACAACACAGACTAATAAACAGTTAACCAGGTTCCAGATACTGCTTGCCACTGGAATCTTTTTTTTTTTTTTTTTTTTCGTAAGATTTATTTATTTAGGCACATCTGGGTGGCTCAATTGGTTAAGTGTCTGCCTTTGACTCAGGTCAGGGGATGAAGTCTCATATCGGGCTCCCTGCTCAGCAGAGAGTCTACTCCTCCTTCCTCTGCCTCCCCTTGTACTCTCTCTCTCCCTCTGCCTCTCAAATAAATAATAAATACATAAATAAAATCTTTTTTAAAAAGATGTATTTATTTTAGAGAGCATTTTAGAGAGCAAGCAGGGAGGGGGGCAGAGGGAGAAAGAGAGAATCTCAAATGGATTCCCCATGGAGCACAACCCTGAGATCATGACCTGAGCCAAAAGCAAGAGTCCAAACTCAACTAACTGAGCCACCCAGGCACCCCTGGAATCTTTCAGTAAGACATTGTCTTTGCCTTGCAGTTCTGTTTCCACACTATTATGTATTTTGAGTTAATATTCATTCAGCATATATTTGAGTGTCTATGTTAAGCAAGGCCCTCTTAATCATTTATAATTTGGGAATAATGATTCTATGTGTAGACAAAGCAAACTATAAATGCAAAGTATTTATGTGACAAATTACTAAAACGTTGAGTAGTGGCTCCAAGGACTACCTGATGATGGACACGAACTACCAAGTAGCAGATTGTGGCCCGCATTCACTCTGCCCTTCCGTAAGCGATCCACATGCAACACAGTTGAAGGATCCACCAGGAAAAACTCCAGTCACCGCTCACTCACTGGAAATATTTCTTCAGAATTATTTTTATGGTTGAAGGGCACACTCCAGCAGCTTTCCCTCCTGCCAAGGCCCTATTTTGATGGAAGCCATGATAAATCACACTTGGTCCCTACAAGTCAAGGTTACTTTTGCTGACTGAGAACCACACCCACCTAAGGGAGTGCTGGGAATCATAAAGATTTGGATCAGCCATTATGGATGTTCAAGGGAGAAATTATTTCCTTTTGAAGACCTAGGGAACTAGACATGCAACAGATGACACAGGCAGAGTCATAAGGAGGGCTTGACACAGACACAACAGATGAGTTAGTTGGCTGCGAGGTGGAGCAGGGATAAGACCTGAAGCCGTGAGTGCTGGAAACGCAGGTAGCTGTCTTTTGGGCAGATAGCTGAGTGATGGCAAGGGACCTATCCTGAAGACCGGTTATAATCAGAGGAGTTTCTCTTGTTTCTTTGGGTTTGAATGTGTGGTGTCCATTTTCTTTATGGATGGCCGAGGAGGAAGGAGTGTAGAACGTATTCTCATCAGGTAAGCATTGCTTTTCAGTATAGGACAGAGATGGACCCTGGAGCCAGTGAAGGAGCCCCAGCTGCATTCCTGCCTTAAGTAGCCTTCAGTAAGGTCACTTCTCCTTTCTACAGCTCAGTGGCTGTAGCCCAAAAAATAGGGAATATCATTGTTTTGATGTAAAATCAAAGTGTCTTTATAAAAATGTTTTCTCCAGATGCACGTTTTCGGGGGTGTGTATAATTTTTATTTAAGAGTGAACAACTTTAGAATTGGTATCCAGGGCCCCTGGGTGGCTCAGTCAGTTGAGCGTCCCAATCTTGACCTCAGCTCAGGTCATGATCTCAGGGTCGTGAGTTTAAGCCCCATTCAATGTGGAGCAAACTTAATTCTCTCTCAAAAAATAAAACAAAAAGGGGTGCCTGTGTGGTGTAGTCAGTTAAGCATCCGCTTGATTTCACATCAAGTCCTGTTCTCAGGGTTATGAGAGCGAGCCCCACATTGGTTCTGTGCTCAGCACGGAGTCTGCTTAAGACTCTGTCTCCTGGGCGCCTGGGTGGCTCAGTGGGTTAAGCCGCTGCCTTCGGCTCGGGTCATGATCTCAGGGTCCTGGGATCGAGTCCCGCATCGGGCTCTCTGCTCAGTGGGGAGCCTGCTTCCCTCTCTCTCTGCCTGCCTCTGTGTCTACTTGTGATCTCTCTCTGTCAAATAAATAAATAAAATCTTAAAAAAAAAAAAAAGACTCTGTCTCCCTCTCCTTCTGCCCCTCCAACAGTGGACACACACGCTCTTTTTCTCTCTAAATAAATCCTTAAAAAAAAAAATTCTCTCCCTCTCTCTTTGGGGGTCCCTCCACCCCCACTTAAGCTTGCTCTCTCTCTTAAAAAAAAAAAGAAGGAAAGAATTGGCATCAACCTTATAAGCATTGATGCATTGGACCATCTCAAAGGTGTTTTACTGACCACTGTGCAAACTGTTCATTTCGTGTTGGGGAGGTTTTAGTTCATAGCTCTGGTGCTTTTCTCTATTTCTGTTTCAAATATGGGATTGTCTTCTGTTTCTCCCAGGGAGTATATTACCAAATTGGAGATGTTGTTTCAGTGATTGATGAACAAGATGGAAAGCCCTACTATGCTCAGATCCGGGGCTTCATCCAGGACCAGTACTGTGAGAAAAGCGCCGCCCTGACGTGGCTCATTCCCACCCTCTCAAGCCCTAGGGACCAGTTTGATCCTGCGTCCTACATCATCGGTGAGTTTGACAAGTGGTACAGGTTCCTGAACGCAGGGAACTCTCCTCTATTATGTAACAGAAGCTATTAGTCTGCTTGGGCTGCCATAACAAAGTACCATGGGCCAAGTGGGATAAACACAAAACCTATTTTCTCACACTTCTGGAGGCTGGAAGTGAAAGATCAAGGTGCTGTCAGGGTCACTTTCTGGTGAGAGCACTCTTCCTGGCTTGGAGGCGGTCACCTTTTCGCTGAGTCTTCACGTGGCCTTTCCTCTGTGTGTGCACACTCCTAGCGTCTCCTCACCCTAGAAGAACATCAGTCCTATCAGGTTAGGGCTCCAGCCTATCACCTCATGTAACCTTAATTATCTCCTCAAAGGCCCCATCTCTAAATACCATCCCACTGGGGCTTAGGGCCTCAACAAACGGAGTGGGGAGAATATAATGCAATCCATAACAAACGTAAGCCTCGTTTAATGTTAAAAAGCAAAGAGTTTTGTAGAAAATATGAAAGACATTTTACATAGTTGGGGTTTGAGTGCTATGGGTTATTTTGAGTTAGGGCAGTGTATACCTACTAAAAAGTGATGTGGATAAGATTTTTCTGAGTGACCCCGTGTTAAACTCTATTAAAAGAATTTATTGCTCAGGAATGAGGCTTATTTAGGCGTATTTTTTTTTTTAAGATTTTATTTATTTATTTGATTTTTCTGAGTGACCCCGTGTTAAACTCTATTAAAAGAATTTATTGCTCAGGAATGAGGCTTATTTAGGCGTATTTTTTTTTTTAAGATTTTATTTATTTATTTGAGAGATCACAAGTAGGCAGAGAGGCAGGCAGAGAGAGAGGAGGAAGCAGGCTCCCTGCTGAGCAGAGAGCCCGATGTGGGGCTCGATCCCAGGCAGCCAGGATCATGACCTGAGCAGAAGGCAGAGGCTTTAACCCACTGAGCCACCCAGGCGCCCCCAGAATGTTATATCTTTATTAATTTTTAATAAAGAACCTCAATCAGTAGTTGGTAGAAAAATCACTTTTTATGAAATCCAAGAATACTTACAAGATTGCGTAGGTGAACCAAGCATTCATGAGCACCCAAGTTTTTAAACCTTTCCTGATTAAAAAAAAAATACAGTGTTAAACAATAAATTGTTTCTTTTTCTAACATAATATTAAGTAGAAGTAAAACAATCTCATGACAAAGGAGTAAACCTTAAATGATTGACAATGACAAATGAGTGAAATAATCAAACCTAGAACTATACCTTGCTTCTTAAAATAGACTCATAAAAAGATAGTCATATAAGTCAAATCTGTATGAATGTAAATGTCCCGGGGACATTTTTATTTTCAAAAAAAAAAAAATACTGAGATCACTATGTGTAGAAAGTGAAAAGAAAAAAAAAATCAACCTCTTATGTATTTGTTTTGTAAATGGAGATTTTCATGAGCTAGGTTTAAGCAATGATGGCTCATAGTCCCTGAAATATTTTCTGCATTTAACAGTGTTCCAAGTCTCTGCGGCCTCCAAAATCTCACCTTTTTTCTTTAAAAGATTTTATTTATTTCTTTACCAGAGAGAGAGGGAGAGCGCACAAGCAGGGGAAGCAGCAGGCAGTTGGGCTCTCTCTCTGCTGGGCAGGGAGCCCAACGCAGGACTCAATCTCAGAACCCCGGGACCATGACCTGAGCCAAAGGCAGACACTTAACCGAGTGAGCACCCAGGTATCCCTTCTTTTATCCACTTTTGCCTGTGGAAATAGCTCAGGGAAAATAGAAAATAAAATAGAGCCCAAATAAGAGTAAGACAAAAAGATCTCGGCTTAGGAAGCTGAAGCAAAACTGTAGAAATCTACCAATACCTCTAAGAGTTGCCTCAGAAACAACAAAGTGATAGAAATATCGTATCCTATGGATGATTAAGAAAAAATAGATAATGTTTAATGATCAGAATTAAGTTGATTCAATAAAAATTAAGGTGAACAACTTAGTATTTAATTTACATCAGTAACAACAACTTACCAGAAAAGAAACACGCTGACAATTGCCCCAGTGACCACCAACTGAGCTGACAGGATCAGGAACACTTTTATAATGAAAGCTGAAGAGACAGAAACATTATTTTTATGATACCATATTCAAAAGTAAAAATAGAAATGTAATTATCTATTTGTGATGCTTAACAAAAAGGATATTTCCTGTGACTTTTTAAGGTTGGGAAAAGGAGCACCAGTTAGAGTCAGCAAATTGAATAACCACAGAAATACAGCTCTGAACACTTTGTGGAAAATACTCCATTTGGATTGTTACAGGTGTTTTATTGGCGATCTGAGGGTTTACCCAGGGAAGCCCCAAAATCTAAAAGACAAACAGGGATTGATTGCTTACTAGTCACACCCCATCCTCCTTAGGACCCACAGTGACCTGAAAGTCTCTGGATGTTGCAGGCCATCGTGAGGGGTCCGGCTCCACCCGGGGACACAGGTACAGAAGGCAGTTAGCCCTCCGAGACGGATGCAGGCTGCGGGCCTTCTCAGAGCCTTCCCACCTCTTCTCTCGCCAGCCTGCCTGCCTGCAGCAATTCCCTTCCCTTCCCTTCACCTCGAGCAGAAACTAAATAAATGAGGAATTATAAGGAAGAACAAGGAGGTCGCAGCAGCATGCCAAAGCCAAGTACAGAGGATTGTCAGCATCTCTTTTTGCTTCCTCCCCCCTGCACAGCTCTTCCTGGAGCCCTCCGAATACGGTGTTAAATATGATGACAGTGAGCTGTTTGGTAGCTTTGTCTCCATTTTAAAAGAGAAAAAAATTCTGCTTGGAGATGACTGACAGGATTGTCAGCTGTGTCCTTTTTCTGGGTGGTGTCAACGTATAGGAAGGGGGAAAACAAAGAAATAGGATTGAGCTGTCTTAATCACAATGCCAGAACATATGTGCCCCAGTGTGGGCTGCCTATATTAAGATATTCAGGTGGTCAACATTTATTGCACATCTACTATATATCAGAGACTGGGAGGGAATAAATATTAAATGTGGCCCAGCCTTAAGACATAAGATTGTTAGAATAGAATCGACAGTCCAGAAATAATCCCTTATATTTATGGTCAACTATTTCTAACAAATGTGCTAGAACAATTCAAGGGAGAAAAAATAGTCTTCAACAAAAGGTGCTGGGACAACTGGACATACACATACCAAAGGAATGAATTTGGACCCTTTCCTCATGTCATACACTAAAACTAGTAGTTTAAAATGGATCATAAATGTAAGCATAAAAAACAAAACTCTTTAAAAAAAAAAAAGCAAAGTCTTGGGGCACCTGGGTGACTCAGTCTGTTAAGTGTCCAACTCTTGGTCTCAGCTCAGGTCATGATCTCAGTGTCTTGAGATCAAGCCCCACATCGGGGCTCCGCACTCAGCACGGAGTCTGCTTCCCCTCTCCCTCTGTCCTTTGGTCCCTCCCCTGCTCATGCATTCTTTCTCTCTTTCTAAAATAAATAAATAAATAAATAAATCTCTTTTAAAAAGAAACAAAACTCTTGGAAGAAAGGATAGACGTAAATCTTTGTGAGCAGAAATTAGGCAATGATTGCTTTAGATATGACACCTAAAGCACAAAGAAAGAAAGAAAGAAAAAAAAATTGGATTTCATCAAAAGTAAAAGTTTTGTGCTTCAAATGATACCATCAAGAAAGTAAAAGTGAAAGAAAGAACTAACAAACTGGGAGAAAATATTTGCCAATCATGTATCATGATACGGGACTTATACCTAGATTACACAAAGAACTCTTACAATTAAAAAACAGGCAGATAAATAATTAAAAATGGGCAGAGTTTGTGTAGTGCTCCGCCCGCTGACACTGGGCTTGGCCACATGATTTGTCTTGGCCAATGAGACGTAAGCATGCGTGAAGCCAGGAAAGGCTTGACAAGCTGCTTGCACAACAGGGCTTGTCTACCTGGTATACTTTTCCTTGGGAACCAGGATGATGATGATGATGAGAAATTCAAGTCACAAAGAGAAAGCCTACAACCAACACCAACTTCCAGCCGTGTCAGGGAGTCATAATGGCCACTTCAGCCTCAGCTGCCATCTGATTACAACTGCATTAGAACCCCCAGTCAAGACCAGCCCAAGAACTACCCAGCTGAATGCAGTCAATCCACAGAATCGTGAGAGATAACAAAATGGTTGCTGTGTTTTGGGCAGAGGACTTGTATAGATATTTCTTCAAAGAAGATACTAAATGGTCAATAAATTTGTGAAAAGATGCTCAACATCATTAGTCATTAGGGAAATGTAAACAAAACCACGAAGAGAGGGCGCCTGGGTGGCTCAGTGGGTTAAGCCTCTGCCTTCGGCTTGGGTCATGATCTCAGGGTCCTGGGATCGAGTCCCGCGTCGGGCTCTCTGCTCAGCGGGGAGCCTGCTTCCCCCTCTCTCTCTGCCTGCCTCTCTGCCTACTTGTGATCTCTCTCTGTGTGTCAAATAAATAAATAAAATCTTAAAAAAAAAAAACCACAAAGAGGTATCACCTCACATACACTAGAATAGCTATAAGAAGAAAGACAATAACGAGTGTTGACAAGGACGTGGAGAAACGGTCCCCCCTTATACACTGGTGGTTAGAATGTAAAATGGTGCAGCCGCTATGTTTAACATTCCTCAGAATTACCATATAACCCAGTGATTCCTAGGTAGCTACTACCCAAAAAAAAAAAATGAAGATACATATCTATACAAAAACTCAAATATGGATATGGATCATAGCATTATTCCTAATAGCCAAAAAGTAGAAACAGCAAATGTCTGTCAGCTGAAGAATAAATAAACAAAATATGTTCTAACAAGGCGTTGGAATACTATATGAGCATAAAGAAGGAATGAAGTTCGGAAACATACTACAAAATGGGTGAACCTTGAAAACCTTATGGTAAGTAAAAGAAGGCAACCTCAAAAGGTCACATATCATAGGATTCCATTGATGTGAAATATCCAGAACACACAAATTCATAGAGACAGAAAGTAGGTTAGTGGTTGTCAGAGGCCAAGGGGCAGGATGGGATGGGGATTGACTGCCAATGGGTATG